TATAAATATTTTAATTTTAAAAAAAATCTGCGAAACAGTGATTCCACGTAAACGAACTGCAAAATAGTGTGGGAACACTGTAATAACACTTGAATATCCCTGGATTTTGGTATCCACAGGAGGGAGGGCAACTATCTTTCTATTGCATAACTGACAAATGCAGCTTTCCATTCTGGGTCGTGTCTAAAGGAATACACATAGACACAAAAATTGCTTCTGTTTGATTTACGCATCATGCAACATCATGGCATAGGATCATAAAATTTGCAAATTCTTCATTTCCCCCAAGGCATAGACATTAATCAGGCTTTTTTTGTAAATGAAAAAACAGCAAATAAATACATATTAACTGGAGAAGTTGTTCAGGTTTTCAGAAATCCTGCAGAGAAAGACACAAACTGTATGTCACCTTTAGATAAATGCTTGACCTTGGCAAATGCATTTTGCTCCTTTGCAAGATAAATGTATTGATTTCCTCCCTTCTTGCTCATAGAGTTATCAGACTGAGGTGGCTCAGATTAGGGGGGGGGGTCTGGTGGTGCTGAAACGCAACAAATCAATAGAGTTAAAAATGCTCAGGAATGGCTGGGCTTTTTAGGACAGCTGCATTGTGAACACATAGTTTTAGTAAAGGAATTTTTATCTCGTACAGATTTTCAAATCATAATCGTATACTTCAGATATTCATAAAGGAAAAGGAGGGAGATATTTTCTGTCATTACCCTTTGGACTTCAATGTCCATAATTCCCTAGGATGGCCTTTTGGCTCAAGAGGGAAGTCACAGTGCCTCTTTATTCTGATTTGGTTAGACCACACCTGGCAAACTATGTCCAATTCTGGGCACTACAGTTTAAAAAAATATATTGATAACTTGGAAGGTCTCTAGAGGACGGCAATGGTCTGGAGACCATGAATCCCTTTGAGGAGCATCTTAAAGAACTGGGTATGTTTAGCGTGCAGAAGAGAAGGTTGAGACACGATAGCCATGTATAAATATGTGAAGCGATGCCATAAGGAAGAGGGAACAAGCAGGATTGCTCTGGAAACTAGGACTAGGACAATGGGTTGAAATTATAAAAAAGGAGATTCAACCTGAACATTAGGAAGAAATTCCTGACTGTAAGAACTATTCACTAGTGGAACACTCTGTCTTGAAGTGTGGTGGAAGCTCCTTCTTTGGAAGCTTTTAAACAGAGGCCAAGTGGCCATCTGTCAAGGTTACTTTGATGGTGCTTTTCCTGCATGACAGGGGGTTGGACTAGATGGCTCATGTGGTCTCTTCCAACTGTTATTCTATACTTATATTATTTATTTATTTATTTATTTATTTATTTATTTCGTGTACTTCTACCCCGCCCTTCTCAACCCCCGAGGGGGGACTCAGGGCAGCTTACAAAAAGGCACAATTCGATGCCTACACAATAATACAGATAAATGAATAAAACAGCAATTGAAACAGTTATAACAGTTAAAAACAATCAATATATGTCACAGTCAATAACCAATCTCTGATCTAATTTCTCCGAGGAGTGAATTCCATAGGTGAGGGGCCACCACCGAGAAGGCCCTGCTCCTCGTCCCCGCCAATCTCACTTGTGACAGAGGCAGGGCCGAGAGCAGGGCCTCCCCAGAAGATCTTAAACTCCGAGGTGGAACGTAGAGGGAGATCCGTTCAGACAGATATGCTGGGCCGGAACCGTATAGGGTTTTGTAGGTCAAAACCAGCACTTTGAATTGTGCTCGGAATTGGATCGGCAGCCAGTGTTGCTGACATAGCAGAGGGGTGGTATGCTCCCTGTATGACGCCCCGGTGAGTACTCTGGCTGCCTCCCGCTGGACTAAGTGAAGTTTCCGAACAGTCTTCAAAGGCAACCCCACGTAGAGTGCATTGCAGTAATCTAATCGGGATGTAACAAGAGCGCGGACCACTATGGCCAGATCCGACTTCCCAAGGTACAGGCGCAGCTGGCGCACAAGTTTTAATTCTAAGTGTTTGTTTATTTTTACACAAAGAATTAATTATTGGCCAAATATTTGATACTGCAGGATGTAGAATACCTTCAACATTTTTCACGCCATGTTTGGTTTGCAGCCTCAAGTGGAATATATTCTACTGTCTCTCCTTCCTTCTCCCGAATTCATGTAAATGTCTGAAGCAGCCACTAGGTGACAAGCTACACAAATCTTCCTGGCAGCAGAAGCCCAATTAATTGCATCTGCAAGGAGTTCCTTTCTTTGGTAGTGATAGCATACTAAAAAGCTGTTTCAGATTGCAATGTAGCTCTGTAAGTTTTGTCAGGTTTTCATGTTGTTGCCTCTGTGTTTTCTTATTCCAATTGTTTTGGGGATTATTTGTTGCAATGACTTGGAATAACACTAGGTTTGTCCAAATTATTTTAAAACCACATTGTTATTTGGGTTGTTTTAGGTTTTTTCGGGCTATATGGCCATGTTCTAGAGGCATTATCTCCTGATGTTTCACCTTCATCTATGGCAAGCATCCTCAGAGGTTATATGAGTCTACACTGCCAATATAATCCTGTTCAAAAGCAGATTTTGTATGACAGTGTAGAAAGGACTTCTGTGGATAACAAAATCCATGCATACTCAAGTCCCATTGTATACAATGGTGTAATAAAATGGTGTCCCTTATATAAATTGGCAAAAATCAAGGTTTTACTCTTTGAAGGTTATTTTACTGACACAAAAGCACAGTATGTCACAGCGAACAAGATCTATGTGCTGGATTTCATATCACAAAATCACAAGTCGAACACTTCCCAAGTGTCTAGGACTGTGTATTTTCGAATGATGTGCGCAGATCCAAGTAAGGTGGCCTTTTGCAGTTGACAGATCGTGATTTTTGTCAATGTTTATTGTTTCCAAATGTCGGCTGAGATCTTTTGGCACAGCACCCAGTGTGCCAGTGACGACTGGGACCACCTGTACTGGTTTATGCCAGAGCTTTTGCAGTTTGAGCCGGCGTTGTCCATAGACACCTCCAAGGTCATGTGGCTGCCATGACTGCATGGAGTGCCTTTACCTTTCCGCCGGAGCAGTACCTATTGATCTACTCACATGTTTTTGAACTGCTAGATTGGCAGAAGCTGGGAGCTAATAGTGAGAGCTCATGCCACTCTCCAGATTCAAATCTGCAACCTTTCGGTCAACAAGTTCAGCAGTTCAGCAGTTTAACCCACTGTGCCACCAGGGGCTCCAACCCCTATACAGAGACTATGAAAGTTCACTATTGTCTACTTACCAGGCAGCAGGCATTGTAAATAATGAGAGTATGTTCCTTTGTTGAACGGGCAGCAGTTTCCTCATATTCCCATCCCTCTCTGGTGTGAAGCAGCATTTGTGATGGATGTCTTGCTACTGTCTGTCACACTGGAGATCACTCATGGGAAAGAGTGAAAATGTCAGTAAGCTGTTTTCTGAGCAACAAAGAAACAGACCCCCATCAATCGTATCACAGAATCATAGTTGGAAGAGGCCAACTTATCTTGTTGTGTTTCTAATAATAATAATAATAATAATAATAATAATAATAATAATAATAATAATAATAATAATAATGTAAATGATAGAAAAATTGCTCTGGTGGAGCAAGGACAGGTAAGTGAAACTTTCCAGTCCCATCTCCCCCCATTTCCACTCTATTACAGGCAGTCCTTGAGTTGCAAACATCCGATTTACAAATGACTCATAGTTAAGAACAGGAGTGAGACAACAGGAAGTGAAAGACATCTATCTCTAGGACGGGAAATCCACTCTTGGAAGAGTTATCATGGGGGGAAAGTATCTCCACTAATGCTTTCTCACCAAACCTTGTTTCCACAACAAGACTTTTTTTCAAAATCCAATTGTCACAGGCACAGAAAGTGTGGTGTAATCTTTTGAACAGAGGCACAGACAGCAAAACAAACACCACAGGGGTGTTAATCCTTCCGTAGGCTATCCAAAGATTGCATAGACACGCACACACACAGAAAGTTACACTTAAAATGTACCTGTTCCAGTTTACAAACAAATTCAACTTAATAACAAACCTACAGAATCTACATATCTTGTTTGTAACTTAGGGGCTGCCTGTGTATCGGATTTTAGTGCAGGTAAAGTGATAAACCTGACAAGAGGCTTTAAATGAGCTATACTGCATGCTGATCCTATTTTGGATTTAGTATTCAATACTTTGCATGTTTTCCTTCAAGTTTTTATTAAACCAAAGAAGCAAATTCACAGCCCCACTGATATGGAAGCTTCCAGCTACCATTATTAGTGATCTGGTTTGGACACACAAGTCTGGTGCGGTTGTATCTACTCTTGTATGCCATTATCTTTTAGAAGGGGAAAAAGTCACTTTTTCCCCTTCTAACATTCCGGGAAAAAGTCAAGACTTGGCTTTTTGAGCAAGCATTTGCCAATGCAGTGTAGCAGACATAGGAAAATGGAATGACTGGATGATGAGACTGAACAATGTTTTTAACTAGGAGTCGCTAACAATTGGTGTTTTTATTGATCTTGTTATCGTTTTATATCATATTTTACTGTTTTTAAATGCATTTTATGGTGTTGTTGGGCATTGAATGGTTGCCTTTGTTAACCGCCTTGAGTCGCCTGTGGACTGAAAAGAGCAGTATATAAATACTGTAAATAAATTTATATAACTAAAAATGTAATGTTCGTTTGTGGGATTAACATAACTCAAAAACCACTGGACGAATTGACACCAAATTTGGACACAATACATGTATCAGGCCAACGAGTGACTATCAGTCATAAAAACACAGCAGAAGAGACATAAAAATCTAAAAAATAAAAAATACATTACAACACATGCGCAAAACCACATATGTATACGCAAACACACATATATACACATATACACAAATATATACACACACAAAGCACATATACATAGGCTGGGCCACAGCAACGTGTGGCAGGGGACGGCTAGCAAATAATAAATTAACAAAACTACTTTATTTTCCTACAGATTTCTATGACATTTGTGATGACGTTGAATGCCAGGGCTCTTGTTTGGATACTGGAAACTGCCTGTGCTCTTTAGGAACAATCATGGGACCAGATGGACAGACCTGCCTGGGTAAGAAAAAATGACTGCATATTTCACAGAGTACACATTACAATATTTTGATACAACTTTAATTGCCATGGCTGCACCCAGCATAATCTTGAGATTTGTAGTTCAGAGAGGCACTGGAGCTCTTTGGCTGGGAATTTTAAATGCCAGGGAATACCAGAATTCCATAAGATGGACCTAGTGTAGTAAAAGTGGTCTCAAACTGATTTGTGTAGTACGAAAGAGGCCTATAAAAAGATGGAAAACAAGTAATAAAAGGGAACATACTGGGGGAGGAGTGGGTGGGAGGGCTGGACAAGATAGATTGCCTCCATCCTTGATCATTTCATAATTCACTTTAATCTCACGGCTTTTCCATTAGCCGTTATTATCAGAGCGGACAGTGGAGGTTGCTAAGGTTGTCCTTGTCCTTCACTGAGCAGAATCGGATAATAAAAGCATGAAAAAGAAGGGAGGGAAAATGATTGGAAAGAGGTAGATATAGGAAGAGGGAGTTAAGAAAATGAAGAAGATGGACAAAGTACAAAGAAATTGGCTTGAAGAAACACTACTTGCTACTAGGCTTGGTTGATGCAAAAAAATGGTTCAAAACTCGTTTCGGATGTAGGGGACGCTGGTGTTTCAATTCAGAATTGAATTCAGAATTTTTCCGAAAAAAATTAGGAACTTTCCGAAATTTCCGAATCACTTCGTTAATGGCGGACGTGGTTGCGCAACACACAAAAAACAGCAAATGGCACTGGGCAAACTTCAGGGGATTCTCTCCCCCTCATTTTTAGACCAATTCTGACAAAACTTGCCACAGTGGTAGAAAACATCCTCCTCTGTCAGCATACCAAATTTCAACAATTCTGATTATATGTGATTTCTAGTGTTTCCAAAGTGGCAACACAAAGCAACTAAGGACACAAACAGCAGAGAGAGGCCTTTTTGGCTTTTGAAGTTGATTTTACAACTTTAAGAAGGATAGTTTTTTTTGAAATAGATTTTTATTAAACAGTTTAAAACATATATACATGGAAAGAGGGGGAATATTCAAGAAGAAGATAGAAAAGAGGAAATACAGTCAATTAAAGAAAAAAGAGAAGAAAAATAAAACAGCAAGAAAAAAATACAAAAATCAAAATAAAATATTTATTTTATTTATTTATTACTGGTACTTTTACCCCGCCCTTCTCAACCCCCAAAGGGGGACTCAGGGCGGCTTACAGAAAAGGCAGAATTCGATGCCTATACACAATACATAGTATACAAAAATATAAAAGAACAATATACAAAAAATGCAATTAAAACTATAGACACAATAAAACATCAACAACTGGTACCTGAGACATTGTATAACATCATATAAAAACATCCTATAAAAGTCAATTCTTATAATCAGCGTTTCGTTTCCAGAGTTCCACATGACCAATCCGTTAGTCATTTCCTAGCCATCAATGGAGTTCTTCTTTATTTACCCGCTTGTCAGAATGCCAGGTCCCAGATCCATGTTTTTAGTTTTCTCCTGAAGGAAAGGAGCGTGGTTGCAGATCTGATTTCCCCGGGGAGAGAGTTCCATAGGCGGGGGGCCACCACCGAGAAGGCCCTGCTCCTCGTCCCCTCCAATCTCACTTGTGATAGAGGCGGGGTCGAGAGCAGGGCCTCCCCAGAAGATCTTAGACTCCGAGGTAGGACGTAGAGAGAGATCCGTTCGGACAGATACACTGGGCCGGAACCGTATAGGGTTTTGTAGGTCAAAACCAGCATTGAATTGTGCTCGGAACTGGATCGGCAGCCAGTGGAACTGACACAATAGGGGGGTGGTATGCTCCCTGTATGACGCCTCCGGTGAGCAATCTGGCTGCTTCTCGCTGGACTAGTTGTAGTTGCCGAGCAGTCTTCAAAGGCAACCCCACGTAGAGTGCGTTGCAGTAATCCAATCCGGGATGTGACAAGAGCGTGGACCACCGTGGCCAGATCCGACTTCCCAAGGTACGGGCGCAGCTGGCGCACAAGTTTTAATTGTGCAAAAGCTCTCCCGGCCACCGCTGAGACCTGGGCTTCCAGGCTCAGCGATGAGTCCAGGATCACTCCCAAGCTGCGAACCTGCGTCTTCAGGGGGAGTGTAACCCCGTCTAACACAGGCTGTAACCCTATGCCCTGGTCGGCCTTACGACTGACCAGTAGGACCTCTGTCTTGTCTGGATTTAGATTTCAATTTGTTAGCTCTCATCCAGTCCGACACAGCAGCCAAGCACCGGTTCAAGGTCTGGACAGCCTCCTTGGTGACAGGTGAGGAGTGACAGATTTGGACGTCATCTGCATAGAGATAGCATCTTAGTCCGAAACTCCGAATGATCTCTCCCCAAAGGCTTCATGTAGATGTTAAATAACATCGGGGACAGAATTGAACCCTGTGGGACTCCACACAACAACGGTTGTGGGGCCGAACAGGTGTCACCCATAACACCTTCTGGGTCCGTCCCTCAAGGAAGGATCGGAGCCACTGCAAAGCAGTGCCCCCGAGCCCCATATCCATGAGGCGACCCAGAAGGATACCATGATCGACGGTATCGAAAGCCGCTGAGAGGTCCAGCAGAACTAACAGGGACACACTCCCCCTGTCCAGTTCCCTGCGTAGATCATCTACCAAGGCGACCAAGGCTGTCTCAGTTCCATGTCCCGGCCTGAAGCCAGACTGTGCCGGGTCTAGATAATCAGTGTCTACCAGAAACCCCTGGAGTTGTGTTGCCACCACACGTTCCATGACTTTGCCCAAATAGGGGAGATTGGAAACTGGCCGATAGTTGTCGAATTGGGTGGGATCCAGTGATGGTTTCTTCAACAGCGGTTTTATAATAGCTTGTTTTAAGCTCGCTGGAAATTTTCCTTCCTGTAAGGAGGCATTAACCATCACCTTCACCCACTCTGCCAAACCCCCTCTGGCTTCCTTGATCAGCCAGGATGGGCAGGGGTCTAGGATGCATGTAGTGGGTCGCACCTCTCCAAGGATCCTGTCCACATCCTCAAGCTGAACCAATTGAAACGAATCCAACAAACCTGGACAAGCAGATGCTCTCGTTACATCCCCAGAGACCGCCGTTAACATGACATCAAAACCCGACCGAATCCGCTCAATTTTATCCGCGAAGAATCGAGCAAATGCTTCACAGCGAGCCACCGAGTTGTCTGAGGCCTCGCTTTTTGGCGGATGTAACAGACCTCTGACAAATAAAATGACTTCCATTCCAATCTCATGAACTTGTTGTCTTTTGTTTCATTATTATTTACCTCTTCTTTGTTTGTTTCTCTTTTCTATTCTTTTCATAGTCATAAAAGAGAGCCCAGTCTGTCTTTTTTTATAGATTTCCCGGTATTTTTCTTTAACAAAGAAGTTAACTCATCCATGTCTCTTATTTCTTTTACCTTGTCCATCCACTCATCCACCATGGGAATTTGTTCTTTTTCCCAAAACTTTGCAAAAATAATTCTATCCACTGTTGTAACATAAGTCAGTAATTATCTTCATTTTCATCCAATTGTAGTTCCAAGTCAGTGAAACCCAACAAATAGTATTCTGATTTTTTTCTTAAACTTTTTGTTTAAATTTTTTTGTGTTTCCTCATGGATTAAAGACCAATATTTGGTTGTTTCCTTACAAGTCCACCACATGTGATAGAATGTACCTACTTCTTCACCACATTTCCAACACCTGTCCGATGTATTTTTATACATATGGCTTAATTTTTTTGGAGTGATGTACCATCTGTGGAACATTTTAAACCAGTTCTCCTTCAAGTCCATAGCATACATATATTTTAACTTTTTGTTCCACATTTATTCCCACTCCCCGAATTGAATTGGTCTCCTTCAGTTTTCTGCCCATTTTATCATACAAGACTTGACCTGTTCTTTTTCTGTTGCCCATAATCATAATGTATTGTAAATCATTGTGACTATTTTCCTTTCCTTTTTCAAGATTTTATCCCATATATTTTCTTCCCAGTAAAATCCTGGTTTTTTATCTTGTTTATAATAATCCTTAATTTGTAAGTAATGAAGCCATGTTATATTTTCATAGTTTGCTTTCAATTGTTTGAAAGTCTTAATTTCCATTGTGACCTTAATTAGAATATCTTTATATGTCGGCCATTTTCTCCAACCTAAGAGTCTCCTTTGGTGGGCCTCCATCGGGGAGAAAGAAGGATAATATTTTGACTATTTGGCAATGCAAGGCAAACTGAGGAAACAAACTGCATCCTCACACCCCAATATTACCCACCCATGTGTCACCCACTTGTCCCAAACCCCAACAGCAAAAACACATAAGCGGCTGCAAGGCAGCCAGCCAAGCAGGCAACAGCCCTTCTCCCTGCCCTGGTTCTCTGCTGCCCTGCTCATCTTCCCCACCAACAGCAAGAACACACAAGCGGCTGCAAGGCAGTCAGGCAGGCAGGCAACAACCCTCCTCCCAACCCTTCTCTGCTTGCCCTGCCCTGCTCTTCTTCCAACCGCTCTTCTTCCAACCTCCCTTTCTCTTTCCCTTTCCCTTCTCTCTTCCCTTCCCAGGCTCACAATGAGCCCCTGAGCCATGTGCTGCCCTTTATATAGCGCAATGGCCACCATGCCGAAACCCTGCCCCTCCCCTCCCCAAAACTTCTCCCCTCATTGGCTGGGAGGCAAGCATCCCAAAATGCAAGCTGCTTGCTTCCAAATGCTGAGTCCCTTCCGACTCACTTCCTGAGTCGGAAGAAAAATGACGAGAGAAGCTTCGGAAGGGCAAATGGACTTCCAGTTTTCTTAAATACTTCAAAATTGCTTGAAAAGAGTAATTTTTTCTGACTTATTTATTTATTTATTTATTTATTTATTTATTTATTTATTTACAGTTTTTATATTCCGCCCTTCTCACCCCGCAGGGGACTCAGGGCGGATTACAGTGTACACATATATGGCAAACATCCAATGCCAATTTTTGACATACAAACATAGACAGACCTACACAGAGGTTATTTAACTTT